AATATCCTTGTATATATTTTATAAAAGACTTTTTTATTATTCTAAATATATTTTAAAATTTGTCTTATATTTTCTATTTATTCATAGTAATTTTATTGGTATTTTCTTTCTCTTATTATAATTTTTCTTTTTGAAGATTCCTTTTTCTACTTCAAATAGAAATTAATTTCTTGATTTAAAGACCTATTACTACCATTATAAAATATGAGAACAACTCAACAACAACTTCTGCTCGCACTAATGATAACATCATAATTTTACCATCAATTGTGTATAGCGATTGCATGAGAATTTTTAGAAATTCCAGAAAGGTCTTGAATTTTATAACCAATATTAATCAAATCAAAGTCCAATTCTTTTACGGTGAAATCAATCAAGCCGTACAATTCAATGTCTGTATAGCTGGATTGCATGCAAACACTTCCGGTATCTTGATTCATTTTAATTGCTGGTATCCTTAAAGGTTCGAATGGCGGCAAAAACCATTCCGGTATACCATAAACCAATTGTTCTTTGATTTCATTGAAACTCGGCGGGCGCACGCATTTAATTTGGGATCATAACGTTTGCATTGACTGAGAAAAGATGAAGTGAAAGAGAAGAAGAAGAGAATATATAAAGGATAACAAAACCAAAACGAAAAAATTAAATTCACTTTTTTTATTAAAATGTCTTCGATATTTAAAATTAGCCTTCGATATTTCCCTTACATTTGTTGTAATCGCCACCATTAGTCACAAGATTTTTACCGATATTAATATCCATCTTTTGATTTTTTCGATTCAAAACTTAACGAAATGCAAACAATTACTGATCAAAAATGGGAATTTTTATTATTATTTAAGTATAAAATTTTTATTTCGCTGGATCACAATTTAATTGAAAAGTACTGCATTGCATTATCAGCATTATCTTTTGTTATTAAAAAAAAATACTCTTTTATTGAATGGAAAAAAAATTTTAAAAATATTATTTGCCGTGCAATGCAACAAATATCACTTTGAATTATGGATTCTACAAAAAGAAAAAAAAACTTTAACATAACTTATAAAACAAAACTCAAGAAAAAAAAGGAAAAGCGCTACACAAATTTCGTAAGTAATAAAATTATTCATTATTTTCGTTCATCTTCGTCTCATTCATATAAGATATGACTTGGTCCAACCTATAAAGAAAAAAAAATTTTTTGGATTACATTTTTATGATTATAATTTTCGAAAATAACAAAAAAAGTTTAGTAAGACTGTCTGCGAAGGTATACAAAATAGACTAACTGGTTAGGATGGGTGACGAATATATTCATTTTATCAATGCGTTGACAACACACAGAAGTAAGCTTCAGAGATCCCACATGGAATTTCGGCCCAATTTAACGATGTTCGTCTGTCCGTTTAAGTAATGTAAGGTTGTAAACATTCTCGACTTTTTATCTGAAAACAGAAAGAGTCAACGGCGTGCACTCAATATTAGGTTATAGAATATGAAAATTTAGTTCCTTCCATTTTTTTTGGTCTTGCTGTAAGATAACGGTGGGTGTAAAAGATACGATCACGATCGAATATAATTTTCTTACTTGTTCTTTGCAATCCTGCGCAAGTAAGCTAAAAAGCGGTTTAGCCCAATGTATCGAATATGGGTGAGCGTATGCATCTAAAAATGGTGCGTACATTAGAGTTTGGTGACCTGGATAAGACTTCCGTTCCGCTTCCGTTCCGTGCGCAATTTACCTTTCGATATAAATTAATGCGTAATATATGGAGACATTATTTACACACTATATAAGACACCAAAATATTGAGTTCGGAACGACTACTCCTCGAAATTATGTAGATATTGCAGTTAGTAAAAAAAAATATATATATATATAATATTTACTTTATGTGGTGGTTGGCAAAGCTAGCGAAAAATGTTTTTGTTTGCATTTTTTTCTACTTTTTTTTTTGCTGAACATATTGTTAAAGAAATGTTCGATTATTCTACATAATACTCATAACAAGAATAATTAATTTTATTATTAAATTTTTGTATTAAAAAAATTTAATAATAAAATTAAATTTTTGTATTTAGAAAATTATTGATAACCAGGCTGCTATTAAACAAAAGCCGCCACATATGGCCACTTATATGTTGGTTGTATCGCCAGTTAATGCTCGATAGTACATGGGCCCACTAAATAGAAAAGTACCTTGGTTTTGATTCATTTTATAACAGTCTTCAATTTTAAAAAACGTCTATAAAAATTGAAAAAAGAAAAACAATAACAAGCAAATGAATCAAAACCAAACAAGTCAACAATTTTTTGTGCACAAAAAAGCTTTAATTATTTGATAAATAATGCCTTTAAAATACCTTTAATACTTTGTAAATCCTGGAAGCTTAACTGAGGGTAATAAAAACAAACCTATTCAATGAACGTTTTAATAATTTTTTTTTTTTAATATTCCAAGTGAATGCATCTAAAATGTTAAGCCAATTCTAAAGCTTGCTTGAAAAACTACAAATTAATTAATTATTTTTTAACTGATAGAGAAAAATATAACTGAAATCTTATCTACGGATTGTTATTAGAACAAAAAATAAAAAAATAAAAAAAACGAATTAAATATTAAAACAAACGAGATAATGATGTTCTCTAAAATTTTAGGAAAAGATAATCATAAAAGGAAAGTACAATAGTTTAAGAATATCAAAACAAAAATGAAAAAGAAATGCTTTATCAACAAAACTTCACTTTATATGAAAGACTCAATTATTATATACGAGATCAAATTTTTAAGTAGTAATTAGTAAGTAGTTACAAAATTAGACAAACTAGATAAATAAATCATAAAAAAAAAACGAATCAGTTATTTCATTTTGAAACTTTTTGAGCATACTGCCTGTGAACTGTGATTGTGAGTTATTTTAGGCAGAAATAAATATCACTGAGAAGACAACTTCACCGAGTTATGAGAGCTGAAAGTATCACAAAACACTTGTAGGATCATTTTCTAATTAAATAAATTTTCCAAATAAAAAGAAAATTTGACAATGTAAGAAATATCAATACTTATCGTTGTAACCGCACCAACCAGACTAAAACTTCCACTCTCACCCCGTGACCAACTCACCTTCTCTAATTCACTCTAGCACCGACATACTTGACTGAATTTCGACTTAAGCTAATTACTGTCAACTTCTTGTGATTTCTCTTTACTCTAATTTCTCTTTACTTAATTCTAATTCTGCCTGACTTACTCTTATATTATTATAGTTTTAAGAGTAACAATGATGTTGCAATGGTGTAGGCCAGTGGTCAGTTCCAATGGGGCAATGATCCGGAATTCCGCTATTTTAAAAAAGTGTTTACAACTGTTTACAACTGTTTAAGACT